CTCCCCTCCAGACACCTGCGTGACTGGTCACAGCGTGCACAGTGTACGAAGTACAGAGCGGAGCCAGAAAAGAGTGGAGATGCTGGCACATGCGCTGCGCCCAGGCAAGGAAAGTACGTATGCGAGTTCAGAAGTCGCCGCTACTCGTTGCGAAGTCAGTGCGCTAAGTCTAATGGTGCACGCTAGCCAGCACTTCATTCACTCGTCCTCCTGGCTGGCGCGGGAGAGCTCAATCACTGCCAGAGCCCAGCATACAAATCAGAGCACAGCGAACAGACAGGCAGACGCGCACGCAACAAATTTATAAGGACAGGGCGAGGGAGAGGGAGAGACAAGGAGAGAGAGAGAGAGGGAGAGAGAAGGAGAGAGAGGTCGGAGGTTGGAGTGTGAGATCGCAGTGGAACGGAGACCCCCAACCGGGAAATCGTTTCGTTTAGTTCGTGTCGTGCGTGCGGGCGAGGCGAAGCTGCGTGGGCGCGCGAAAGGAATGTACCCGCCGTTGCTAGGGCGAAGTCAAGACAAATGATTCTCCTCCGTCCGTCCGGCGGTGGCCCTAGCGGTGTCCCGCGGTGTCCCGTGGTGTCCCGTGGTGTCCCGTGGTGTCCCGTGGTGTCCGCCGCTGCCAGGGCGAAGTCAAGACAAATGATTATCCTCCGTCCGGCGGTGGCCCTAGCGGTGTCCCGTGGTGTCCCGCGGTGTCCCGTGGTGTCTAGGGTGAAGTCAAGACAAATGATTATCCTCCGTCCGGCGGTGGCTCTAGCGGTGTCCCGTGGTGTCCCGTTGTGGCCCGTGGTGGCCCGTGGTGTCCCGTTGAGTGAGATCGTTAGTGAGATCGCAAGTGAGATCGACAAGTACTCCGTGGTGCCCCGTGGTGTCCCGTGGTGTCCCGTTGAGTGAGATCGATAATGAGATCGATAATAAGATCGATAGTGAGATCGATGTGGTGTCACGAGGTGTCCCGTGGTGTCCCGTTGAGTGAGATCGATAGTGAGATCGATAGTGAGATCGACAGGTGCCCCGTGGTGTCCCGTGGTGTCCTATGGTGTCCCGTTGAATGAGATCGATAGTGAGATCGATAGTGAGATCGACAGGTATCCCGAGGTGTCCCGTGATGTCCCGTGGTGTCCCGTGGTGTCCTTTAGTGTCCTGTTGAATGAGATCGATAGTGAGATCCATAGTGAGACCGATAGTGAGATCGAGAGGTGTCCCGCGGTGTCCCATGCTGTCCCGTGGTGGCCCGTGGTGGCCCGTGGTGTCCCGCTAAATGAGATCGATAGTAAGATCGACAGTGAGATCGACAGGTGTCCCGTGGTGTCCCGTCGTGTCCCGTTGAGTGAGATCGATAGTGAGATCGATAGTTAGATCAATGTGGTGTCCCGAGGTGTCCCGTGGTGTCCCGTGGTGTCCTTTGGTGTCCCGTTGAATGAGATCGATAGTGAGATCGATAGTGAGACCGATAGCGAGATCGAGAGGTGTCCCGCGGTGTCCCGTGGTGTCCCGTGGTGGCGCGTGGTGTCCCGTGGTGTCCCGCTGAGTGAGATCGTTAGTGAGATCGATAGTGAGATCGACAAATGTCCCGTGGTGTCCCGTAGTGTCCCGTGGTGTCCCGTGGTGTCCCGTTGAGTGAGATCGATGGTGAGATCGATTGAGTCAGATGTTGGTTCCAACCCCTCTCCCCCCCCACACAACCTCCTTATCACCCGAAGGGTGGTCGTATAGGTATGTATCCGCCACCGTGCCCATAGGCACGGAGTGGGCGTGCCCTCAGGTCCTCTCACTACCCCTCTAAGCCTCAGTCCACACTTCTGAGGAGTCTTTGAAGGGTTCGGAGCCTGTCAGCCCAAATCTCCTGTGGCTTCTCGCTGTTCCCCTGGGCTCCGGCGAGTGGTGTCGCAGGACTTTTCTGGGGCCAAGAGGGCCCCGAGACGGGCCAAGAAGGCTCCAAGCGGCCTCCAAGACGGCTCAAGAGGGCCCCGAGACGGCCAAAGATCGGCTCAAGACGCCCAAGATGGCCTCAATGTGGCCCAAGAGGCCTCAAAGACGCCCCAAGAGGCCTCCCAAGTCGTGGGAGGCCTCCAAGACGCCTCTAAGACGGCCCAAGAGGCCTCCCCAAGAGGCCTCCAAGACGCCCCAAGAGGCCCTCGTGGGACCCACGAGGGCCTCAAGAAGCTAAAATCATGGAATTCCCCTGAAAGATTCTTGAAGGATTTTGACGTTCTCGCCTTTTCGGCCTTCCCGACGCTTCAAGACGGCCCAAAAGGCCCCCAAGACCATCCTAAAACAGCCCAGAGGCCTCCATGAGCGCCCCAAGACGGCCCAAGAGCGCCCCAAGACGGCCCAAGAGGCACCCAAAGACTCCCAAAGACGGCCAAAGAGGGCCCCAAGACGCCCCCTAAAGGAGCCCAAGAGAGGGAACACGAACGGAAAATCCGAGCCTTCCGCCCACCCCAAGAGGCGCCCGGGAGGCCCCAAGAGGCCCCCAAGAGGCCCCAAGAGACCCCAAGAAGTCCCGAAGAGGCCCAAGAGTGGCCCAAAGAGGCCCCCAAATGGGCCCCAAGAGACCTCCAAACTGCCTCCAAAAAGCCCCCGAGAGGCCTCCAATGAGATCCCGACGAACATCAAATAGGCTTCATACCCACAACCCAGGCACGGTAGCGGGATGGGCCGAAGGCCATTGGATAGAGACAGAGAGGACGAAAGCATGAGAGAACGCGAGCAAAAGAGGATGGAATTGATACCCCGATCAGGACAGGGAAAGAGAGAGAGAGAGAAGGAGAGCGATATAGAGGGAGCGAGAGAGCGAGAGAGAGAAAGAGAGAGGAGTGGGAGAGAGAGCGATGTAGAGAGAGAGAGAGAGAGAGAGAGAGAGACTGAGGGAACAAAAAACGTGAAGTAATGATCGGGGAAGAGATGAGAAATGAGACGAGCACGTACAAAGCGCATGTGGGAAAGCAGGATGGCCTGAGGACGTGCGGGACGAAGAGAAGTGCCGAGAGGGGCCAATCCTTCTCTTCTGCCTTTGCTTCCTCCTCCTTCTCGTCCTTTTTCTCCTCCTTGGGCTCCGGCTTGTCCTCCTTCTCGTCCTGGGCTTGTGCCGCGCGCGCAAGCTGGCAAAAGCAGAGCGAGCGCGGCGGCGCAACATCAGCGTGCACCCACAGACATCTGGATGAGAAGGAGCTCCTCCGTCATTATCCTGCTCCTCCTCCCTCCATTTCCGCCCTTCTCTTCTGCCCTCCCTCCTCCTCTTCCGCTTCCTCCTCCTCCTCCTCCTCCTCTTCCGCTTCCTCCTCCTCATCCTCCTCCCTCCTCCCCCCTCCTCCTCCTCAGCCTCCTCCTCCGCCTCATCCTCATCCTCCTTCTCCTCCAGCTCCTCCTCCTCCTCCTCGTCCGCCTCCACCTCCTCCTCCTCCTCCTGCTTCATCCCTCCTCGCTCCTCCCTCATGTCGCCACCATCCTCCCACCTCCTTCCCTCCTCCCTCCTCCCTCTCCTCTCCCTCCTTCCACCCTCACCCTTCTGCCTCCCCATCCTCTTCCATCCCCCCTCTGGGGTGCGATACATACGATGCGCCGTATGGAGTGCAATGGCCTGCTTCCTTCTTCCACCCCAGGAGGATGACACAACCGCACAGTTTCTCAGACCGCTGCCGTGCGCGACAGAAGCCACGAGGGAAAAGTTGCCAGTGGCAGCAAGCAGACGACGCTTGTCCAGAAAAGCGCATCGGCACCCTGGGCGAGACGAGGCGGCGAAGAGGCGAGACGAGGCAGTCACTGACGAAGCCGCAGCAGTCCGATACCACAGGAAGGCGCACGGACGGAGTGTGAGGGCAAGAGCAGTCAGCGGCCCCAAAACGCTGGGAGGGGGGAAGACAAGCCAGGTGCGCTCGCGTCATCTCTGGCGTCCTACCCCTCCCTCCCATCCCTTACCAGGGGATAGATCTCCTCTCCATTCGCACAATCGGATGTCGTAGCATGGCGTTGCGTTACATGTCATAGCATGGTGTCGAGTACTGACGCATAGCATGACATAGCATGGCGTGGCGACGCCCCAGAGTGGGGGGGGCTTCTGCGGCCCAGAAAATCAACGAACCGACACCGAAAATGTAATCACTTCCGATGGTTTCTTCGTGAGGCCATTTTGTAGATGTTTGGGCTTATCTGGAAGGACCGACAACCATGCCTTGGCATGGCACTGGAAATAATGACGCCAGCGCTGCAGCGGGAGCACGAGATGAGGCCAGCGCTGCAGCGGGAGCACGATTCGGAACGAGCGGAAGCCCGAAAATGAGGCCAGCGCCTCAGCGAGAGCAGCATTTTGACAAACAGCACAGCGAAAACTCAACTCGCCGACATCTGTGCGGAAAGAAACAATACGCGAGAGGGGGCCGAACACTCCGAGACAGATTCCGCCATAGATCCAGGGGAGAGAGGAGAGTAGTATTCATATTGAGTAATTGTAGAAGGAGAGATCGGCAGACAACGACGACGAGAAGCACTCGCGCGAGCACAGAACGGCCAGGATGGACGGCACTCGCACCAGAAGCCCTCGCGAGCACAGTGGAGGAAGACACGGGAAAGGACGAGGGGACATGAAAAGAGGAACCACAAGAGGCACATGGCGCGCGGTGCGGCAGTGGAACTCCTGCGCGAGGAGCCGCAGAAGCGAAAAGTACAGCCCTGCAAGAAGGCAGCCAGGCGAGCGACGCTGGCAAATCTGCGGCAAAGCGGTGGCAGAGAAGGAAAAAGGCTGAAGAGGAGGGAACGCTTACAATCACAGCCTATCGGCCCGCCGATCTTGCGAACCCCGAACGAACACCCCACAGCTGGAAGCACATGCCGTCGCCGTGCCCACCCGATGCGCACCTGGAACAAGCCACCTCGTCGGATGCGTGCTGCTGCAAGTGGTATGGCTGGCATCCGTCGTGCAAGAAATAGTGGGGCTGCTCGAAGTTAGGTACACATATCCACCCGCGAATGGTGCCGCTGGTTACCACCGTACAGTCGGGGCGTTGACCTAAGGAACCCTAAATAAGGAACGAGGCCCCTTTTTGCCATAAGTTACACTTCGATTTACTATCGAAGACATAAGGGAAACCTGAGGCAAGCTGTGACACACTTCAGGAACGCGGAGCCCCTCCCCAACGGAAAGGGTTCCTTGTTCAGGGCCCCGACTGTACTCAATGGAGCTGCTGGCAGCGCTGGACCAGCTGCGCATGGCATGCTGCTCCCCGTCGCGCTGCTGTCACGCAGCGTGCGGACGCACTGTTCGCCCCAGCTTGCAAGTCAGGACCAAGACGAAGGCAAGACGAGGATCAATTCGGATCAGGATACGTCGAGAGTGCCTGGAGCTGGCGGATCTGGAGGACGCACCGGGCATCGCGGCCGCGCCCGTGCGTTCCGGAACGCTCCGAGAGCGCTCGAAAGTGCCCTGGAGCGATTTTTACCTGATCCTGGGCCTGCCTGAAGAGTCGTGCGGGTGCTCTCTGACATACAGTCATCGGCCTGACCTAAGGAGCGATAGATAAGGAACAAAGCCCCTTTTTTATCTCAAGGAATAACGCATAAGGAACGATAAATAATAGATAACGCATAAGGAACTGTAAATAACGCATGTAAAATCTAAGGAACGACCGAGCCCCTTTTGAAAAGTCAGTGTTCATTATTCAAGCCGCTCACTGTAGAGCTGAGAGGGCACCAGATCAAACAGTGGCCAGGCCTGTCGTGCCGAGCGCTGGGCAGAGGTGCCCCAGAGGTCCGTCGTGCTGCTGGCACCGTGGAGCGCGCTGCTCGAACCGCTGCACATGTCGCGCGGGGCGGCATCACGTTGTTCAACTTCGTGCTGCGTTCGCCTGCCCAGCTGCTCATAGACGCGAAGCTCGAAACACATACAACAACCGTACTGTCCGTCGTGCTGCTCAACCTGGTGTGGCAATGAAGCGAGATGCTGCTCAAAGAAGTGGCTTACGACCCACACCTCGTCCCACTCGTGAAATCCTGGGCTACGAGCAGTCTATGACCTGCTGAGTCCGCATCTTGATTTCTCTGTCAGACTGCTCGCAGCATCCCAACGTGAGTAGTAGATGCATGGGCCAATGCGGGCTCAAGTCATGCGTAAGATCCGACAGGCAAATACCAGCTTGAACCAGTTTTGAAACAAAGCTGTGTCGCGATATGGGCAACATCCCAACGTAAAGCACAGCTGTATGGTCCAGTAAGTTCTCGACATGCGTACACTGCGGCATACGGGTTCCAGCCAGGAGCAATCTTGAACGTTCTGATCAAATCACTGTCCCATCCGTGGATGCCCGCGTAGCGCTGCCGTTCGGCATCGTGCCGCCCAGCGCAGGATCATGATGTACATGGTAAGGAAGCCTGCGGCGAAACGCCTGGCGCCTGGCCAGCCCTATTGACACGTCTCGGTGTGCGACGGGGTGTTTTTCTCTTTCGAAGGGAAAAGGATGGAGGATGAGGAGGAGGAGAACCAGGCCACTACGTGGGACTCACGGAGGACTCGAGAAGGAGGAGGGGGGCAAGAGGAGGAGGAGGCGGAGAAGGAGGAGAAGGGAGGGAGGAGGAGGAGAAGGAGGAGGAGGCGGAAGAGGAGGAGAAGGGGGAAGGGGCACCAGGAGGAAGACAGACAGGATCGGGGGAACGAAACATGCCGAAGAGGCCCTCGCCCACCCAGCAGCGCGAGCGGGCCATTCCAGACTCGCGCCTCCGCCGCCTCCCGCCGGCCGCTTCCGCCGGCGGAGCCGCCCTCCCCCTGCTTCCGCGGCGGAGGCAAGGCGAGGGCGGCTCCGCCGCGGCTTCGGCGGCGGCAGCACGCGAGAGTGACCCTGGGCAAGAGTGGCCTCTGGTGCGCGGCTTTTCTAGGGGCCGAGGGGGGGGACCAAACCTGGGCGCGCAAGCCGCTGCTGCTGCTCCTGCTTCGTTTTCAGCCTCCTCCACCTCCTCCTCCTCCTCCTCCTACCTTCCTTCCTTCTACCTTCATCCTCCGCCTCCTTCTCTCTTATTATTCATCTTTTTTATTATTCTTCTTTATTTGATTAGTAGCCGTTTTTTTTCTTCTTATTATTCTCTTATTTTATTATTACTCTTATTATCTTATTATTATTTTGTAGTATTATTAATTATTATTTCTTAGGATTATTATTTTTATTATTATTATTATTATTTTTATTATTATTAGTAGTAGTAGTAGTAGTAGTAGTAGTAGTAGTGGTGGTAGTAGTAGTAGTAGTAGTAGTAGTAGTAGTAGTAGTAGTAGTAGTAGTAGTAGTAGTAGTAGTAGTAGTAGTAGTAGTAGTAGTATTCGTCTTCTTCATAGTATTCTTCTTCTTATTAATATTATTATTGTTCGTCTTATTCGTCTTATTCGTCTTATTATTATTAATAGTAGTCGCCTTCTTATTATTATTAGTATTCTTATTATTATTATTCGTATTATTATTCTTACTCTTCTTCCTGAGATTATTCTTCATATTATTGTTAATATTATTAGTAGTCTTCTTAGTATTAGTAGTATTATTAGCATTCGTATTATTATTCTTATTGTTCTTAGTTTTGTTATTATTATTAGTACTATTATTGTTCTTGTTATTATTATTAGTATTAGTATTGTTATTATTATTATTCTTATTATTATTAGTAGTAGTATTATTATTATTAGTAGTATTATTATTCTTATTATTATTATTATTCCTCCACCTCCTCCTCCTCCTCCTCCTCCTCCTCCTCCTCCTTCCTACTCCTCCTAATCCCATACATCCTACGCCCACCCCCAACCCCCCCCCCCCCCCCTGCCTCCTCCTCCTCCTACTCCTCCTCATCTCACTCCTACTCATACTCTATCCACTACCCCTGCACCCTCCACCTCCGCTTCCGCCTCCTCCTTCCTCTCCTCCATATAGACCTTCCTTCCTCTCATCCTCATACCTTCATCCTCCTCCTATCTTCCTCCTCCTCCTCCTCCTCCTCTAGGCGACCTCGGCGGCGGCAGCGCAGCTCCGCCGGCACGCCGCCGCCGGCCCTTCCGCCGCTCCCTCCGCCGAAGGAGGAGCCCCACCCTCCGAAGCCCCCAGGGACGAGGCCCCTTCTCGACGACTCCAGATTTCGTAATAAAGGGAGGGGGCTCTCATTTCGGGGGGGGGTCTCTTCCAGGCTATCTTGGAGGGCCCGGGGGGGTCGGGGGACGATGTTTTGGAGGGTTCTCCCAAGGGGGGGGTCTGAAATGGCTTGTCTTGGAGGGTCCAGACCCCCTCCCTTTTATTGCGAAATCTAGGGTACCTGCCAGGCCACCCCAAGCCAACCCGAAGACCCGAAGTTGACCCGAACTTCGGGCTGGGGGGGGTACGGGCTCCATGTGTTTTTACCCATGTTCCCCGAACCCCCCCCCCACTCCCCACTGGAAATGGAGGGAAAATTGAGGCCTTCGGGTCGGGTTGGGGTCGTTTGGTGGGTGGTGACTTCTGGAACGCCCCGCGTGGACACCCAGAAATCTCGACCCACTCCCCTGGACCAGTATTTTGTCCCGAACCGTCTTCTGACGGTCCTGGTGCCTGGTGAGAGCTCCGGAGCCCGAAAACAGCAAAAGCTTGCCGTCCTGATTTTTTCCCAGTGCAAGGGGGTCTAGAGTTCGACTCCCACTGGGCGAGGCAAGAGGAGCCGGGCATGCGGTCCTCCACGTCTCCGCCCGCGAGGATCTTGGCCTTGCGTTCCTGGGCGCCCACTGCGGTGGCACGCCCGGCCACGGAGTCGGAGGAAGAGGGTGGTGGAGACAGCGAGGCGGGGGAGGGGACGCGGGGAAGGGAAGGGGGGGGGGAGCAGGGAGGAGGGAGGGGGGAGGGGGGGCAAGGGGGGAAGGATGGAAGGGAGACGACGCTGCCGCGGGCCAGCTCGTCACCCTGATGACCATCGCCCTAGCGGCAGGCGACCGTTTTACCATCTGCTTGAATCGGGCCTGCGAGGGGCGTGTGAAAGTGACTGTGCCGCCCTGAAAACGCCCCTGGCACATGCAGAACTCAAAGCACATCATATCATTCAGGCAGGGGGGCAGGCGGAGAGCGAAAAGCCCGAGGCGACCGACAGCAGAGGCAGAGGCGAACGCCGGAGGAAGACAAGGAAAACGAACCAAAGTCAAGTCAAGACACGGATAGACAAAGTAACGGAGGATGTCATATCCAGCCACGGCAAATTGGCACCAACGGCATTGGTTGGTCGATTCCCCGCATCGGCGGGTCGTGCACCAACTGCATGTAATCCCCATTGAGGACCAACATCGGGAGAAGGCTGAGAACTAGAGTACACATGCGGCGGAAGTGCATCACTCAGAAATCTAGATGGGCAATCGAAAGGCATAACATGAACTACATACGACGCTTAGCGATGTGGCATGGGATTCCTGTGGACCACCCTCTGAGCCCATGTTGATTGCGACTACTTCGTTTTCTTCCTCCTCCTCCTCCTCTATTTAACTTGCTCGTATTCTTATCATGTAGAATGCCCTGGAACAAGACTCGCGGAAGACTTTTCGAGATCTTCACATAGATTGTGTCCTCGTCCACCACAAACAGAAATCCTCATACAATCCTCCACAGAAGGGATCCTCTTGTAATCCGCCACACCAGGACTCCTAGTGCATTCCTCCACAAAATGGAATCCGTTTGTAATCCGCCACATTAGGAACTCTTTTTTGTGGCGGACGCACAAGGTGATCGAGGCGCCAGGGATGACAGCCCTCCCCCCCAAAAAAAGTAAAGTATACTCGAATATCTGATCTTTCAATCAGATTCCTGAATCTTGTTTTTTGGGCTGGCATCCCCCTGGGCCCTCGTTCATCTTGCACGTCCGCCACAACAGGAATCATTGTGTGGCGGATTACACAAGGGATCCATTTTTGTATGGTTACGCGAGGGTTCCATGCGTGGCGGATGACACAAGGATCCCCTGTGTGGCGGATTACAAAGGATCCCCATTTCGGCAAATTAAAAAAAATATTCCTTCTGTGGCGGACACACTTGATTTCGCTTGTATGCTGACTGGGGAATTCAGGAATCGTAGAGCGTATTAGCTATTTGTTGCTTTTGTGTTGTCTTTGTCTTTTGGTATACGTGACAGGCTGGCACTTAAGACCTCGGATCCCCATGTTTCTCATCTCCCGGTTAACCTCGCCCCACGGGTTAAATCGGGCCTGTCCCCCTACAGGGGGATTTTCGACGAAAAATCAAAAATACCCCAAAAATAATCAAAAAATAGTCCAAGAATGGCCTGGGGACTATTTGTTGATTATTGTTTGACCTTTTGGGGGTATTCTGAAAGTACTTCTTACTCCCAATCATCCTATGGTATTCCCAATCATCATATGGTGTTGGGTCATCGTTTTGATAGAGGACGGTGACCGCTGTCTCTCCTCAGTCATTCTTAATCCTCAACTCCCTACCTCCCTACCCTCCCCTCCTCCTCTCCTCCTCCCCCCCTCCTCCCTCCTCCCCCTCCTTGCCTTTGCTCTCGGCACACCTCTCACACGTTTCGTAGCCCCATAGGGAGCTCCACCGAAGGTCCCAGTGGCACAGCCCGCATGCGGTTCCCCCACCCAGGGCAGCGTTTCGTAGCCCCATAGGGAGCTCCACCGAAGGTCCCAGTGGCAAAGCCCGCATGCGTCCGCCACACCCAGCACGGCGTTTCGTGGCCCCATAGGGAGCTCCACTGAAGGCCCCAGTGGAAGGGGGGCGACTGCGTCCGCCTCACCTAGCACAACGCTTCGTGGTCCCATAGGGAGCTCCACTGAAGGCCCCAGTGGAAGGGGGGCGCATGCGTCCTCCACACCCAGCACAGCGCTTCGTGGCCCCATAGGGAACTCCACCGAAGGCCCCAGTGGGGGGGGGGGGCGCATGCGTCCGTCACACCACGGCGCTTTGTGGCCACATAGGGAACTCCACCGAAAGCCCCAGTGGAAGGGGCGAATGCGTCCGCCACACCCTGCACAGCGCGTTCGGTGTGCCGGTGCGGAGCTCCACCGGAAAGACCAGATGGGGGGGGGGGGGGGGCTACGCGTCCGGCTAACCAGCTCTGCGTTTTTCGTGGCCCCATAGGGTGCTCCACAGAAGGTCCCAGTGGGTGGGCGCATGTCGATCCGCAACACCAGCACAGCTGGCTTAGTGACCCCATAGGGAGCTGACACCGAGGCCCCAGTGGAGGGGGGCGCATGCGTCCGCCACACCCAGCGTCCAAAGTATCCCGACAAGGCAACCTAACAGCGATGTGTAGGAGCATATCTGGAAGCATTCCCCTTAAGATTCAGATGAGAATCCAGTTGTAGAATTCTGCTGTTCTCGCAGTCGTAGTCGCATTCGCGATAACAGTCGCAGTGGCAACGGCAGTCGCAGTCACAGCCTCAGCCTCAGCCTGCCTCAGCCTCAGCCTCAGCCTGCCTCAGCCTCAGCCTGCTTCAGCCTCAGCCTCAGCCTGCCTCAGCCTCAGCCTCAGCCTCAGCCTGCTTCAGCCTCAGGCTCAGTCTGCCTTCAGCCTCGGCCTCAGCCTCAGCCTGCTCAGCCTCAGCCTGCATCAGCCTCAGCCTCAGCCTCAGCCTGCCTCAGCATCAGCCTGCCTCAGCCTCAGCCTCAGCCTGCCTCAGCCTCAGCCTCAGCCTGCTTCAGCCTCAGCCTCAGTCTGCCTTCAGCCTCGGCCTCAGCCTCAGCCTGCCTCAGCTTCAGCCTGCATCAGCCTCAGCCTCAGCCTCAGCCTGCCTCAGCATCAGCCTGCCTCAGCCTCAGCCTCAGCCTGCCTCAGCCTCAGCCTCAGCCTGCTTCAGCCTCAGCCTCAGTCTGCCTTCAGCCTCGGCCTCAGCCTCAGCCTGCCTCAGCCTCAGCCTGCATCAGCCTCAGCCTCAGCCTCAGCCTGCCTCAGCATCAGCCTGCCTCAGCCTCAGCCTCAGCCTGCCTCAGCCTCTGCCTCAGCCTGCTTCAGCCTCAGCCTCAGTCTGCCTTCAGCCTCGGCCTCAGCCTCAGCCTGCCTCAGCCTCAGCCTGCATCAGCCTCAGCCTCAGCCTCAGCCTGCCTCAGCATCAGCCTGCCTCAGCCTCAGCCTCAGCCTGCCTCAGCCTCAGCCTCAGCTTGCTTCAGCCTCAGCATCAGTCTGCCGTCAGCCTCGGCCTCAGCCTCAGCCTGCCTCAGCCTCAGCCTGCATCAGCCTCAGCCTCAGCCTCAGCCTGCCTCAGCATCAGCCTGCCTCAGCCTCAGCCTCAGCCTGCCTCAGCCTCAGCCTCAGCCTGCTTCAGCCTCAGCCTCAGTCTGCCTTCAGCCTCGGCCGCAGCCTCAGCCTGCCTCAGCCTCAGCCTGCATCAGCCTCAGCCTCAGCCTCAGCCTGCCTCAGCATCAGCCTGCCTCAGCCTCAGCCTCAGCCTGCCTCAGCCTCAGCCTCAGCCTGCTTCAGCCTCAGCCTCAGTCTGCCTTCAGCCTCGGCTTCAGCCTCAGCCTGCCTCAGCCTCAGCCTGCATCAGCCTCAGCCTCAGCCTCAGCCTGCCTCAGCATCAGCCTGCCGCAGCCTCAGCCTCAGCCTGCCTCAGCCTCAGCCTCAGCCTGCTTCAGCCTCAGCCTCAGTCTGCCTTCAGCCTCGGCCTCAGCCTCAGGCTGCCTCAGCCTCAGCCTGCATCAGCCTCAGACTCAGCCTCAGCCTGCCTCAGCATCAGCCTTCCTCAGCCTCAGCCTCAGCCTGCCTCAGCCTCAGCCTCAGCCTCAGCCTGCTTCAGCCTCAGCCTCAGTCTGCCTTCAGCCTCGGCCTCAGCCTCAGCCTGCCTCAGCCTCAGCCTGCATCAGCCTCAGCCTCAGCCTCAGCCAGCCTGCCTCAGCCTCAGCCTCAGCCTGCCTCAGCCTCAGCCTCAGCCTGCTTCAGCATCTGCTTCAGCTCGCCTCAGCCTCAGCCTGCCTCAGCCTCAGCCTCTTCAGCCTCAGCCTCAGCCTCAGCCTCGGCCTCAGCCTCAGCCTGCCTCAGCCTCAGCCTGCCTCAGCCTCAGCCTCAGCCTCAGCATGCCTTAGCATCAGCCTCAGCCTGCTTCAGCCTCAGCATCAGTCTGCCTTCAGGCTCGGCCTCAGCCTCAGCCTGCAGCCTCAGCCTCAGCCTCAGCCTTCAGCCAGCCTGCAGCCTCAGCCTCAGCCTGCCTCAGCCTCAGCCTCAGCCTGCTTCAGCCTCAGCCTCAGTCTGCCTTCAGCCTCGGCCTCAGCCTCAGGCTGCCTCAGCCTCAGCCTGCATCAGCCTGCCTCAGCATTCAAAATGTGGCCCGGGAATGGAGTTCTGGAACTCGAAGAACACGAAGTGGCCTACAGTTGGCTCCGGGCATTCAAAATCATGCCCAGGAATGGAGTTCTGGGAACTCGAAGACCACGAAGTGGCCTACAGTTGGCTCCGGGCATTCAAAATCATGCCCAGGAGTGGAGTTCTGGGAACTCGAAGAGCACGAAGGCCTACAGTTGGCTCCGGGCATTCAAAATCATGCCCAGGAATGGAGTTCTGGGAACTCGAAGAGCACGAAGTGGCCTACAGTTGGCTCCGGGCATTCAAAATCATGCCTAGGAATGGAGTTCTGGGAACTCGAAGACCACGAAGTGGCCTACAGGTGGTTCCGGGCATTCAAAATCATGCCTAGGAACGGAGTTCTGGGACCTCGAAGACCACGAAGTGGCCTACAGGTGGTTCCGGGCATTCAAAATCATGCCCAGGAACGGAATTCTGGGACCTCGAAGACCACGAAGAGAGTAACTGTTTGCTTGAAACGACTTCCGCGGATTCTCCCCGGATCCTGCCCGGACCCCCCTGGGGAGTCATGATGCTTTCTTTTGAGACCATTAGAAACCTATCAGTCTTCGCTGTTAGGTAAAAAACATAAATAAATAAAAAATAAGCAAAAAAAAAAACAAACAAATAAAAAAGGTTGGGCAACACGGATGTTCAATAAAAGCGTGCGCGCGCGCTCTTGCGTCGTCGTCGTCGTCGTCGCCGTCCTCCCTCCTCCCTCGTCGTCGTCGTCGTCGCTGTCGTCGTCCTCTGTCTTTCCTCGTCGTCGTCGTCGTCTTGGCGTCGTCGTCGTTTCCGTCGTCGTTGTCGCCGTGGTCGTCATTCCTCCTTCGTCGTCTTCGTCGGCGTTTCGTCGTTGTCCCTCCTATTTCGTCGCCGTCGTCGTCGTCGTCGTCGTCGTCGTCTTCCCTTCTCCCTCATCGTCGTCGTCGTCGCCGTCGTCGTCCTCCCTCCTCCCTCGTCGTCGTCGTCGGCGTCGGCGTCGTCGGCGTCGGCGTCGTCGTCGTCGTCGTCGGCGTTGTCATCATCGTCGTCGTCGTCAGCATCGGCGTCGTCGTCGTCGTCGGTGTTGTCGTCGTCGTCGGTGTTGTCGTCGTCGTCGTTGTCGTCGTCGTCGAAGTCGTTTGAGACATCGTCGGTGTCGTCGTACTCGTTGTCGGCGGCGTCGTCGTCGTTGTCGCTGTCGTCGTCGGCGTCGATGTCGTTGCCAAGTGCCATGTGGTACCCACCGTCACGGTCTTAAGAGGTCTTGCGACTAAGTTGCGGGTGGGAGGGTGGGATGTTTGCACGAGCAGTGGATAGGAAAGCTTCAAGTTGAGCAGGAATTGCACCACATAGATTGTACAACATAGATTGCTAGGAAGCACTGTTTGGGGCCCACGCTGGCTAACATCTGGTTATCTGTACATATCACCTACCTATTGGTCCAACTACCTACTGGTCTCAGTATCTACTGATCGATATCACTATGAATAGATCTGCCTATTTCCCTGTCGATCAAGCATACCATCGGGACGCCCATCGGGACAACCATCAGGACAACCGTCGGGACAACCATCCGTGACAACCATCGGGACAACCATCTGGACAGCCATCGGGTCAACCATCGGGACAACCAGCGGATCCATCGGGACGATCATCGGGAAAGCCATCGGGACCACCCATCGGGACGACCATCCGGACAACCATCCGGACAGCCCGCACCCACCTGCCGAG